GCGCCTGTTTACAGTACAGTGTCCCCATCACTACACTGGGGCATTAGGACCCACATGGGCCGCAGGGTGAGTGTCCCCTGCTGGCCCCACTAACACCTCTTCCAATACTTCTAATACAAATGCTCGTTGCACTATATCATTCATCAGCAGGCTTTGTGCGGTAAAAATTTCCAATTATCTGCAGTAATGGATATAGTTGTGAAGACAGTATATTTTACACGATTGTCCTCCCTTAATCATCATCAGTTTAAAAACTTCCTATCTGAAATTGAGAGTGAATATCTAGATGTTCTGTACCCTTGTGAGCTTCGCTGGATCAGCAAAGCTGAAGTGCTAATTAGATTTTTTTAATTACTCACAGAAATCGATACATTCATGACTCAGACCTATTAACGCCCTCTTTGACAATTTTTGGTTATGGAAGCTCGGCTTTCTTGTGGATTTGACTACACATTATAAGTGAACTGAATGTGAAACTTCAGGGCGAAAATTCGGTTGTTTCAGATTTGTTTTCACGTGTAAAATCTCCTTCAGACAAAAATATTTTTTGGAAAAACAGGTGGCCGCTAATGATTTTGTCTATTTTGCAACTTGTGAAAAGTACAGAAATGAATGTACTGAACCATTTCCGATTCCGTACGCTTTAAACATGATTTTACATTTGAAGCAGCAATTTCTGGACCATTTTCAAGATTGTGACAGTATCCCAGAGAACATAAGATTGTTCCAGAACCCTTTTGGAAGTGAAGTAGAAGATCTTCTGTATTGTAATGTCATTTATTATCGCACAGCTTTAAGTGCCTTGGGGCAACTTTGTTGTGAAAGGTGCTATATAAAAATAAATTGAATTGAATGGAATCTTCAGCCTGAGCTGTAGCTCGAAGTAATTGACCTTCTGCAAATGACTTGTATATGGATCTGTTTAATGTAAAGGATTTGTTAAAATTCTATAAATCGCTACTTGAAGATAGTTTTAAGAACATGGAATGTTTTCTGTCTTTACCCCCACATATTTGTGTGAACAAACTTTTTCAAAGATTAAATATATCAGATCTGAATATAGAATATCACTCTCTGATGAGCACCTTAAGCAGAATTTGATTCTGGGTGCGATTAAGTTTGAACCAGAATTTGAGGACATTCTGTCACCGAAGCAATTCCAAATATCGCATTAAATTTGTGCACATGTATGTGAATTTTTTTTTAGTTCTATTTGTTCATTTGAATATTACAATATATGACAAGGGTTTTCATTAAATTTATTATTTAATGAAAAGTGTAAGTGTGTGTTGTTGATTACGTATTCCTCTATCATAAAATCTCCCTGTCTACCTACCCTCCCATTGTTTGGCTCTCCAGCCTTTCCTCTTAAGCAAAGAAAGTCAATATGATGATGCAGAGTCCAGTTAGTTTGGATATTGTAAGATTCAAAGTTCTCTTTGGTATCTTTGACCAATACCTTCTCAGCTGTTACAATAATCTAATCCTGAATAAATAAAGTTGTGTGTGAAATAAGATGTAGTAATAGTTTCCTATAAAGCTAAAGCTTGGGGTTCCTATAGCTAATGCCAGCAAGATTTCAACTAATGTGTCCTAACAGTTTGTTGTCATCAACATTGAAATATAAATTGTAAATTGTTTTTAAAAATGTGTAATGTTTGTCATATTTTATGGAAGCTAATTGTTGGTGTATTGTATTTAATGTAGTACACACTGAATGATAGTTTAAATGTATTCCCTGTTTTGTACCTCAAGGCAGACAAATAGGCCCTGACAACACCTGCCGGGAGAAGCTGGAGAAGACTGTTATACTCTATACAAAAGTTGTAAGTAAAGTTGTGTTCAGGCTTCTGTGATTATTTATTGCTTTCCTTATTCAAATGCTGGGTTAATGATGTAAGAAATGGAGTATTTTCATTTGATGTTGATGTAAAATGCAATTTTACATTAATTTGTGAAGTAATTAGAATTTTAATTATATATAATATAAATTAAATGGGTGTTAGATCCATATGAAAGGTTATTGGGATTATTCAAAACTTTTTAAGCTTTAAACTCCTTTCAAAATATACATATGCTTATTGATTGTTTAATGATAAAATTATCTTTGAAGGCTGTGTACTTGCACGCTTATATTAAATAGTTTTTTCCGTTTGTTTTTGCGTCCTAGTTTGATGAAATGGATGATGTAGTCTTCTGCAGGCTGCATCTTAAGGCATTTATATTCTCTGGTTCATCGGAAAAAATCGAAGTAAATGCAAAATATAGTGGAAGTGTGGCGCGTGCAGCAATAAGAAATGTGCGAGTTCAGCGTCATTACCTCATGGTTTGTTATATAGATGTCGGCCTGGGTTAAATCAGTAGTTTGACCTGCAGGCCAACCACAAATGACAATCCCCATTACTTGATATTGGATCTTTTTTGTCAGGAAGAGAAAAACAATCTTTCACAAACAGAAAGCTGTTGAGTTCTAGGTTTGTGATTTGTGATGGGCTTTTGGGTTGAAGATTCTATTTAATTTGGCCCATCCTAATCACTTATGTGCAGGAAAACCTCTTAACCTCTCATTTGGTTGTAAACCAAGATTTCTGGATTCTAGAGAAGGACAACAGACATATTTAGGGTATAAATACAGATGTGGGATTAATCCCTTTTATCCAACCAATTTTGTAATGTTTTCTACATCTGCATGGCAGTACTGCAGTGCATCATAAACGCCTTCACTAAATTGCTTCTGTAAAAAATTAAAGTTATTTTGTATAACACAAATGGAACCCCTATTTGTTTTGTTTTGAAAATAAGGTCTGAACAAAACACTATTTGGGTACTTTGCAGTCCTGTTAGGAATGTGTTTATTATATTAGACAATGTCAGCATGTGGCTGACCTACTTTGTTACTGTCTTGTGGTGCAGTTGCTAATTATTCAACCTTTACACATTATTTAGAAGGGCACAACACTTTTTATAGGTATATGAATAGATATTTGAAAAAGAGCAACCCGTTTTTGCTATTAAGAGCACTGAACACCTACTTTTGTTTTAGTGCAATCAGGAAGTCAGTTTCTGTCTATTAAGATGTGTAAAAATGTCAGCATCTTTGGGCAGTGTGCCCTGGGGAGTGACATTGCTTTTAGGATGTGGCATACATCATTTTACCCCTGCTCGCCAGAAACAAATATTTATAGATAGATAATACTTTATTAATCCCGTAGGGAAATTGATGAAAATAGTTATGCTGGAAATAGTAATGATTATCTGCTTATTAAGTTAAAAAAATAATAATTGTCATGATATTAATACAATCAAAGCATTCATAACCTCTAATGGTGGGTTATAAACAAGAGACGGCCATTTGGCCCATCAAGCTTGTTTGGTTACTAGAAGCTAAATTATCCAGAGTCTCATCTGGCAACTTTTTTTTAAAAGAACCCAGGTTGTTGGAATCTACAAGATGGCTGGCTGGCTTGTTCTAGATTCCTATAACAACACGTGTCAAAAATTGCCCTCCGCCCTTTCTCAGTTCTAAATGTACTTTACTTTTCACTGGAATCCCCTCTGGGTCACGCAAGACAATTATGAAAACACCTGTCTGGGTAAATCAGGTCCCTCATAGTCTGCTCTCTTGAAGACTAAAAAAAAAGTTAATTTTTGCCTTTTATGTTAGGATATTCCTTTATGTCTGGAAATGTAACTGGTTGCTCTACGCTGGACTGAATTTAAAGCAGCAGCATCTTTATTGTAGTATAGTGACCATATTTGTAAAAAATATTCTAAATGTGATCTTATCTGTATAATTTTATACAATTTTATAACATCCCTTTATTTAAATTCTGTGCCTTTGAATATATATTCTGTGCTATATATTGTTGAAGCTTCTTCATTGTCTAGAAGCTGTAAATGTGTTAGAATTCTTTTTCTTCGATAACTTCATGTTTGACATTTCACATTTTTATTTAGAGTTTTGGTAGTGTTAAAGATATTTAAGTATTTCACAGTTCCAGCAGGTTTATCATTGTCTGGCTGAGAAGGCCTTTTTAAATTAGAAATTAACTGAATGATGAGAGTAAAATATAAGATTGTGACTTTGTGCTGTTTACTGCTTGGTTCCTTTGCTTATACCTGTTTTTGTCCTTTTCAGCTTTTAGACTTTTTGGAATATCACCCGTACCCTTTCATTCCCCTCATCCAGCGCTCTCTGGAGTTTGCCGTCAGCTACGTGTTCACAGAGGTCGGCGAGGGAATAACTTTTGAGAGGTTCATTGTCCAGTGCATGAACCTCATTAAAACGATCGTCAAAAATGATGCCTACAAGCCGGCCAAGAACATAGAAGGTACAGAGGTTCACTCAGCTCGGCATGACCGTGCATTTCTCTTGTCTCCTTCTAACCTTGTACAGTTTTGGACTTTTCCTTCTCCTTCTGGCTTCAGGTCGAGTGTTCAAGCAGCATCTTCATTTAATAGGCAGTTCTAGAAAGCATGGAATAATATTTCTTGGCCACAATTTTGACACGGCAAATGATTGTTGGGACATCATTGATTCGTTGTGCATGTGTCAGCACCCCAGTTCTTGTGCCAAATTCACCACATGGTTTAAGGCAGTGGTTCCCAGCCTTTTTTGTCTTATGTTCCCCCACAGCCCTTTCAATATGGCTTAAGTACCCCCGCATCCACACAAAATGCAGTATGATGCTAAATTTGTTCATTTAAACTGATATTAACCTGGATACTATTAAACATTATTGACAATATTAAACTGAATATTATTATGATGATTCACTTTCATCCAAAAGAGCAGTTATTGATACTAGATGAGGCGTTTGCCGTGCAGTAATGCAGGAGTGATTATTGTAATAAATCGGCAACGCTAGACATCAACATCTCACCGATTTAATCTGTTTCTACTTTTATTTTGTTCCTAATTACAATTATGTTGACTGAGAGTGAAACAGTATTTGTCATTTTTTAAATGTCAAGTATTAATTTCTATTTTGTGAATTACATTTAATCCACAATCTTCCAACGTGCCCCCTGGTAACTGCTCACGAGTACCCCTGGTTGGGAGTCACTGGTTTAAGGGATGCTGAGGGTGGTACAGTTATTGGCATTGGGCATTGGGGCCCTTGGTTCAATTCCTGGGGTGCTATCTGTGTGGAGTTTGTTCTCCCCGTTTTTGTCGGGCTTTCCTCTGGATACTCCAGTTTCCTCCCAAAGACATACTGGTAAGTTAATTGACTTCTGGAATAAGACGGCCCTGGTGTGCGTGTCCGTGTCTGTATGTGCCCTGCGATGGATGGGTGTCTCGTCCAGAGTGCATCTGCCTAGCGCCCATTGTTTGCTGGGATAGGCTCTGGCTCCCACTGCGAGCCTGTGCTGGATACACCAGTTAGAAAATGGATAGAGGGCTGTTACATGAGCTAAGGATTTCAAAATACAGTAGACTTGCGTTTTACATGTTAGTTAGGTTCCTGACAGCATGTATACCCCAAAGCACATCTAATGAGAACTCACCCTTCTATTCTCCTCCCTTAAACATCATACTTGTTTTTCGGTTGACAAGCCATATTGAGGATGATGCCACATGAAAGAACTGGCGTGCTATAGGTTCTGTAACTAGTTCACGGAACGTAGTTCAGGTGCGCCACGTTTGAATTTGTGAAATTTCCTGGATTATTTGATTTTTAATTTATTTTTCCATCGCCAACTGTGTATAGTCAAATTTGCATAAAAATACTTTGTGTAAAATGTGAGTCTACTGTTAGATGCTAGATGTGCTGTAATTGAAACCCCGATTAAGCCTTCCTGGGATCTGATGGATCTTATAAATTACAGGTTTGTGTGATTAATTTAATCAAGTTTGGCACTTATGACTTGGTTGTATTTTAACATGTTTAGGCTTTGATTTTCAAGTACGTGTTGGACTTAAACTGAAGATCGGGATCACAGGATGCTTATTCTCTCAAGTCAATTAAAAAGTGCTTCCATGCAAATGAGTTTGGTGGGTTCACTGATCACTTTATTAGTGCTGTATTGAAAATGGTAATCCTAAAGGCTATGATTGAAAAAGCATATGGAGTTAACGCTGATTTTATTTTACAACTGTTCTTACATTTTTCAGATTTTTTAGTTAGGCTTTACAGTTAAACAATACATCATACTGTTTGCATTGTATCAATGTGTTTTGTTACCGT